AAAGAATCGCCAGAGCCCAGCAGGTCGAGGCTGCGGTGGCCGGGAGCGGCCACTACACTCCAGTCTGGGCAACTGAGTGAGACTCCAACTCAAAAAAGAAACAAAATTTCAAAATACATCATTGGCCAGACACAGTGACTCATGCCTATAATCCCAGCACTCTGGGAAGCTAAGACGGGAGGATTACCTGAGCCCAGGAGTTCAAGACCAGCCTAGGCAATATAGCAAGACCTTGTCTCTACAAAATAAATCAAAAAATTAACTAGGTATGGTAGTGCACACCTGTAGTCCCAGCTACTCGGGAAGCTGAAGCAGAAGGATCACCCGAGCCTAGAAGGTTGAGGCTGTGATGAATCATGAGTGAACCACTCACTGCACTCCAGCCTGGGTGAGAGAGTGAGACCCTGACTAAAAACAAACAAATAGCAACAACAAAAAAATTGCCTCAAAGTCTTCACTGATAGCATGAAAGGAAAAACAAAACAGAATCCAGTACTTTAAGTTGAGCCAATGGTACTATGTGCATGATATTGACCTGAAAAAAATAACACAAAACCTGCATAAAGTGAAGCCAGAACATCCTGTTTACAGAAGAAATTGACCTCAAAGACAAAGCTATTTATGGCAGAGCCATAACACAGGAAAGTGCATCCAGGATAATAAGATGTTGGGAAACACAATGGAAACAACTACAAAGAAGAAAACAGTTGTATTTATGTATTACCCAGATGCCCAGGGTTCCAGTATAAGGACTACCAGAAGGAGCATCCAGACATCATCACCCTTCTCCCCCACACCACCCCAGCCTCACACTACCATATGCCATACTAGCTGTGCGCCCAACCCCTGCCAGTCCTCCATGTGCATGCCTGTGAGCTGCCAGTCCTCTGTGTGCATGCCTGTGAGCTACAAGCTTGTACTGTTCATGCCTACCAGCTGTAGGCCCATTGTGTACCCTATCCCCTCCTGTCAGTCCCCCAGGTGCTTCTAGTTCTCCTGCACCACCATCCTCTGCAGACCCATCTCCTGTTGTATCCCTTCCTTCTGCTGACCATGA